AGTCTCAGTTTGAAAAATTAAATAATTATATCATTTTTCTTCTATTATAAAGTGAAAACGAGTCCCACAGACCCGAACACCACACAAGGGTTAAGAGAGGAACTGTAGCAAAATGTATCAATGCTGGAGGTCTCTAAAATAGTCCCATCTACAAACTGCATGAAAGAGAGGGTGATGTCAGCAGGTGTTTGAAGGCTGTTGTGAGTAATGTAGGTTCTGAAACACCATCAGAGAAATGTCATGACGTTAGTGTTCCCTTTTACTGACGAGTGCAGACCATATTTAAAATCTGTGGTTGATGCACCGCCCACTGCTGGATCGTGCTGTCATGACTTCGCCCCTCAACCTCAGCCTGGGGAAAATAAACAAGTCCTCCAACAAAACGAAGGCTTGTTATTAATTTGGACTCACGAGCGTTGGACTTGCCCTTCCAGGTGTCGTCACTGGACATCTGACTGTGGCCTCTTTCAGACAGAGCTCTGTCGTAGCTGCTCTGGGACTGAGTGTCAAAATCATCCTGACGGTGGAGACAGAATAAATTCACTGTTTTCAGATGTTATCACGTGGCGACAGCGAGGAACGAAAACAATCCTTCCTCTGAGCAAAAGCTGTTGATGTTACTGAAGCTCATTAGGACCATGTGAAGTTTTGTTTTCCTTACAAAATGCTTGCCATCAGCTGTTTCCTCATCCTGTCCTGCCGGTCGCCACGTCAACAACCTGAGTGAAAAGCAAACAGATTTGAGCTCATTTACATTCAGTCACAGCTGTTTAAATGCCCGAACCCACATTTTCTGAATTTCTTTTTAATCTCGTGTTAAAGCACCTTCAAAGAGTCATATTGTGTCACTGGTAATGAACACAGAGAGAACTCTGTGTGGGAGTTAATCTTTAGGTACTGTATAATTCTCTTGATTACAGAGGAAGAAGGTACTGGTATTCACAACCTGCTACATGTGCTAATACTCTCAGAATTTAATGCAGGATAATTAAAGGGAAGAGCAGAAAAAAAAACAGTCGGCAATAATGTTTGTGTTTCATTAACTTTCGGCTTGTGAAGCCGCAGTGAAACATCCTACATTCCAGCAGCGCCCGTCTCTCCATCTTATCAATTTTAATGGCAATGTTCCTCTATAGTCAGAGGTCAACCGATTGAAGTCCCTTATTCATGCCACAATGGAAAAAAAAATCACACTAAGAGTCTTTGCAACCAACACAGGCTGCCACAGGAGGCGCCATTAAGCATGTGGTCCATCTGGAGCTAGAACCCAGGACCTTCTACTTGTCAACTCATGACCCACAGATCATGAGACACACGTGCTGTTTACAGCGTCATCATGAGACACACGTGCTGTTTACAGCACGTGTGTGCTGTAAAGCACACACGTGCTGCACGTGTGTGCTGTAAACAAGGCCTCTAGTGCAACAATTAAAGCAGTGAATATCTATTAAGATTCGTCTGTAAACACGCAAATAAGTTCAGCTCCTACTTAGTGAAAGTAAGACAATCAACACCTCAGGCCGATTTTACTCCAACTCTTCTGCTGCAACGTTGAGGACTTACGCATGAGGGCTGGTGTTCTGGAAGATCTCCAGCATACAGGAGCAAGTGATGTTCCAGACCTCAGGGCTGAACTTCTCACCGTTCAGAATCACCAGGTTCTCCAGGCAGTTAGTTCCTGACCGGGCCAACTGTTCATTGTCTGGGGAACACAGAAGAGAACGTCACAGCTGCTACGCAGACCATCGCACTCTATGCCAGGTTCACAGAAACCTCTGAGCCCGCACCTTGTCTGACACACCACTGCAGCTGTGTGAAGATGTCAACCAGCAGGATTTCACTGAGAGGCTCGTAGAACTGAGTGAACACGTCACAGATGGCGTAGAGGGCGTGGTTACACGTGGTGGTCATCCACTCGGTTTTCTGCAGGTATATAAAAAAAAAAAAAGAGTTATAGTCGTTCACCCCCTTTTCCAGGAGAAGACAAATTAAAAAAAACAAACAGCTGATGAACTCTGACCTCTGTCTGCTGCTCCGGGAGCTTCATGTTGTCAAAGATGCGGAAGACGATTCTGAAGAGGTCGTGCCACCAGTGCTTCTCGAATGTGTGGCCGTAGCTCTTCATGATCTCAAACATGACAGTGAGACCTCTGTCAGGAGCGAGGAGGGAGATAATGTTTGTGACCAGGTAGAAAAATAAAATTTAATCATTTAATTAAACCTTCACTAAACATCATCCAACATCAGTGATTTTCTTTTTTTTTTTTTTTACCTTGTCCTGACGTCCAGTTTGCAGCGGTTGATGATACACGACAGCTCAAAGAGGATAGGAAACCAGCCACGAACCCAGACTCGATCACCGGGGGCGACGTTCATGTCATCACTGGTGTATTCTCTCAGAGCCTGGATGACAACAACAACAACAAGAGGAGTCAGATAGAAAACTAAGACGTACATAACGGTCGAAAGCCAACTGGTCAGAAATCAGTTCTTGTTACCTGCGGCCTTTCGGCCACGTATCTTGCACAGTGTCGTATGAGTCTAATGGCCTCCATGCTGGTGTCAGGAAAGGCCGCGTTACACACAAACTCTGACAAACACTTGACTGCATCCTGGAACGAATCGATCGCAGCTGCAAAATGTTCCTTGAAGGTGTTCGCTGGGAAAAAGGAACAATTCTCCGGTAAGAGGGAAATCAGCATCCTACAGATCAACAACTCGATTTTCGGAACTCATACACATGCTCTACATAAGTGCGTACGGAACTCACCTACACCAACACAGTGGTAACATCATAATCTAGGACATGAAAACCCCGGAAGAGTCTGACTTACACTTGGGAGTCATAATAAAGGGAAAAAAATTCCCAAAAAAACACAATCCAATGCCAAATGTAACGACTGGCGAATGTAAACAAAGTCGTTTGCCACGTATAGTGCCGTGCTCTCACCAACTCGTTCCCATGTGAAATTCGTTTTAACGCTGTACATTAGACTGATGGAACAAGATTCTTAATAAATGTATGGGAGCTGGCAACGTAACCACGAAACGCCGTAGGTCGAGGACGTCATAAACCGAAGTCCACCTGTATGCTGATGATGTGACTTGTTACTTGGTTGGTTGGCTTCTTAGCACTGGGACTCTCTCTTGAACCAAAGTGGCTGCAGCAGTAAATACTCACAGACAATATGTCCGGTGGTCTGGAAGGCCAGCTCCACTATAGTCTCATCGTGATCCGCCGCTGCCTGGTGGAACACTGAGAAGATGTTCTTCCAACCTGAGCGGATGTTGGCGGCCTGAGAGTTGACCATCTGAGCCACACATCTGATCACCATGTCTCTGATGGTGGGAGACCTGTTCACCAGAGTGGCGTGACAACACATTAAGTATTAACTTGACTTCAGGTTTATTACGGTTTGGGGAAATTGGAAACATGTCTCAGTCCAATTTGGTCATAACTTCAAAGTACCACAGTGACAGCCATAACAAGAGCTGATCAAAGCTTTAAAGAACGGTGTTTTACTGCTGGCTGTATTTTATGACAATCTACCAGGCAATATATAAATAAAGCAATCCATCTTTTGAATGTTTATGATTTTACTTTCATTCATCTGTGTGTGTGAACATTGACATGGTCTTCAAGACGTGCTGAGCCTTTGAAGTAAATATTTTTGTTTTAATTATTGCATTTATGAAGTTGGAATATTGCGTTAATTCTAAGACACTCTGTTAGAGATTTTGCAAATACTTGCTGATTTAAGTCTTCAAACAAAGCTGCTAAAACAGGGGTGGCAAACATACGGCCTGTGGGCAAAATCCAGCCCACTAGGGTGTTCAAAAAAAAAAAAAATCACAAACACTTCATGTCCAGGATATTTTTGTAAAATTAGATTTCATTTAATATGAATGAAAAATAATAAAATCTAAGATACTTGCTCTTTTTTGCATAAAAACAAAGGGGGAAAACATGGACCTAATGTTATTTATAGTTAATTAGGTAATAATTGTACTCGACATCTAATTAGGTTCTATGCGGCCCGTGAACTAATTTCAGTTTGACACCCTTAGTTCTAGAGCAATAAAAGACTGACGGATTAAAATAGGTGACTGACAAGTCTGCAGTACATGACTACTGATGAAGAGAAGACTTTCTCATCTTTATCAACTATATCTACCTGTTCTTCTTCATGATGTGCTCAAAGGGCCGCAGGAAGTCTTTCTGGAAGCGGAAATTAGCCAACTCTCCTTTCTCAAGGAACTTCATGGAAAGCTGCCTCAAAGAGTCCACGGCGAAAATGGCCACATCCTCATTAGGGTTACAGCCCACCTGATGGGATGCAAAAGTCACACAGAAGGTTCAGGTGTTTACCGAATACACTTTGTTGAACAGATACTTTTGATAGACTGCGATTAAAAAGCAATCCTCTGAAGAGTTGTTTTTTTTTTTTTTCAATCAATCACATGTAATTAAAACTACTTCCCTTTGGGGGCGCTTCAGGACCAACATAGGTGCACGGAGTAGCAGAGAGCTGAAATGTCTCTCACTGTTTACCATTTTTCATAGACCTAGAAACATCAGAACACATCAAGTCAACTGACCTTGTTGAAGTGGTCACCAATGACCTGCCATATCCGAGACCACTGCAGCCTGATGCGGTTCATGTTGTAGTAAGAAATCTCTACGATCTTCTGCAGGCTGAACATTCTGGGCTGATGTGCCGATGCCAGCTCATCCATGGAAACCGCACACAACCATCGCACAAAGTCCACTGCAAAGACAAGAGGCAACACCATGAATACATTTTCTTTCTTTCTTTTTAGTAAATATGCAAAAAAAGCTGAAATTCTCACCAATAGCATTTCCATCTAATCTGGTGGAACCAGTGAAGATCCTGAGAAGAAACACCAGAAACATTTTCATAAAACAGAAAGGTTTTTTTGTTATATACTGCAATTCCAGGAAGAACATTTGGTGTGGGGACTTCTTGGCATTTCTAACAACGTTATGACAGTGAATTTCTTCAATTCCTGCAAGCTATCAATGTTGTGTTTCAACTAAACAGGCCAGGTTTCACACCCAGGAAGTTGTGAATAAATTGAAACAAGGTCATTACATCATTTTTTCTTGACATATTAATGGATGGCAGAGCATCATGGGATTTTTCTATTGAAGCATCTGTGCCAGCGCTCATAAATAAACACAATATGACTTAAAACAAAAGAATAGGTTCAAGAACTGTATCGCCTTATGTCAAAATGATTATTAATATTTTTTGCTACTTTTTAGACCTAATGAAACTAAGTCCTGGTCACCTCCTCACCTGTCCACTGCTACGACCACACTCTGAGAGCTGGTTTCTCCCACCGACTCTTGGATATGAGCCATTTGTCTCCTGTCCTGACTTCCCACCAGGTTACCTATAAAATACAGGTTTAAAATTTCAAAAAAGATCTTTTTACATTCTTTGAGGGTTTCCTTAATAAATTCTGTGTGGTTTTATCAGGAATATTTCTTACCTAGTCCCAGTGGCATGAACTCTTCAGTTCCAGAGGGTAAACCTCTTATCCCGGCCTCCTTATCTCGCACCACACCTGAGATGTAACGGGTTTTCACTCCAGTACCGATCAACTGAGCAAGTTCCAGCTGACTGATGCATCTCAGGATCTCAAAAAAAAAAATAAATGGCACAGTTTATTTAATTAAGGTTCTAATATCTGATTGGCAATAGTTTAGCTGATCTGTGTGACAGGTAATTAAAAAAAAGAAAAATCAAGCTTTTAGATATTTTTACCATGCTTCAAATTAGTTTTGAATAAAGCTCATTTAATTGATTTACAGGTAATTAAAAATGATTAGAAATGATAATAATTTCTGTAAATTTTCAGTACGTTTAAACAATTGATGTAAAAAACAAAGTTGAACCGTAAATGCAAACAACCCGAGCCATAAATATGAAAAAAATTGCAACAGTCTTCATGAGGGAAACACCCGTGAACCATTAGTCTTCTGTGTCTGACAGAGACTAAGTGTTCAGTATTGATTTCCTCTGCTTGTGTGAAGTTCTCTGGTGAACCCTGTCCAATCTGCTGTCACTATAAGTTATTTTAAATTAAATAATGGATTAAGGAGCACACAGTAAGTGCAGCTCTGATATTTTCTTCCATCCGATAAAAGCGGCGAAGTGTCTTCCAAATAAATCTTTTCTGACAACTTTAAGATAAAACATCATGTCTGGTAATGGAAGTTTTTTGGTTTTTTTAGCCGTCTTTCCTTTGTCAAACAGCATAACCTGGGGTTTCTAATGACACATTTCTGTGTTCACCTCATGCCAGGAGTTGCCCAGGTAGTTTCCATCAGTGTGGGCCACTGTGATCAGGGTCTTGATGGTGTCAATGTTCTTCTGCTTCATCTCAGTGATGCTGGAACTGGCCGTCAGCAGAGTGAACCTGGCCAAGGCCTGAACGTACGCATCTCGCTCCAACTGTGGACAAAGCAGGTCATTACAGCAGTGGTTCTGAACATTTTCAACTGCACTCTCGCCACTTATTTAAGGACTATCGTCAACCATCCACATGACAACATAATTCACAGCAGTTGCTTTAAAATGTAACTTAAAACACTGTAATTTCTCAAAAAACGCGACTGACACTAAACCAGGGATTTCAAAATCATTTTGGTTCAGAGGCTGGATACAACCTAATTAGATGTCAAGTGGGCCAGACTAGTACAATTATAACATAACTAACTATAAGTCCATGTTTTTTCCCTTTGTTTTCACACAAAGACGTACAAGTATATTATATAATTATTGTTATTTAATCATATTTAATGAATCAAAATTTTACAAAAAAATACTTTACTATTTTTCTTATTTTCAAATTCATCAAGTGGGCTGGGTTTAATAACCTAGCGTGTCCCAAAGACTGGGTCGCGGCCCATCAGGTGGGTCGCAAGAGTTTTTTTTGGGGGTCGTCTCACATCATGTTTCCCAGAAGTTTATGAATAATGTCTATTGACTTGGGTCGCAAAGGTTTGTGACTTTTAAGATATGGGTCCCCAGAACACTGCCCTAGTGGGCCGTATTTGGCAAGCGGGCCAGATCTGCCATACTAAAATGGCAGATCTACTAAAAGAAAAAACAGACCTGCATGTTAAAGATGGAGGCGATCCTGACAGCACAGCGGATTCCTTCCAGACACAAAGAGGCCACTTCAGGGTCATCACAGTCTTGCAGTCCAACGCTGAATGCTGCCAGTAGGGGGGTCCACGCCAGCTACAACACAGGAATGACAAACATTAGGCTCAACAAGCATTACTTTTTGTTCAGCTTCAGCCAATCAATTTGACCTCAGTGATCACAGATACTCTCTGACAAACTGTACCTTAAACATTGGTCTGACATGCTCTAGGTGCGTGGCACTGAAAAACGGAGCCTGGGCGTGACTGACGGCCTCCATCAAGGCTTTGGCCGTCTTGGCCATCTGCTCCATCTCCATGTTGTACAGCAGACGACGTTGTTTTTCACTGGCTACATCTAGAGGGAGAAGACGGCACTGCTTTTAAAAAACTTTCAACAGAGGTGTTGGGAACGCTTAAGGCAAACGTTTAATTAGCTTAGGGGTAGTAATGTCAACTTTTCAAATGTATTTTCTTACTTTTATTCAATAATAATTATATTTGTTTAGCATAAATTATTATGTGAACATGTTTTCAGCACTGTATATTTCCACTGTATAATAAACCAAAAAATAAACTCTTGGTCTGTCTATTTCTTGTTAAAAACCTGTCCATTGTGCGCTAGCTAGTAATATGCTAGCTTAAGGAGCAGAGCCTGACAACATGTACAAACAGATGATGAGGTTGTCAGTTGCAGCTGCCACTCGAGTTGCATTTATGTCCCATCATACACTTGAGAATTCGACAATAAAAATATATAACAACATAAACATATAATTAAATATAATTAAATAATAATAATGAAAGGCTCCACCAGTGCCCCCTGGTGCCCAGTTTGACATCACACAAGTGCTTACTCTGCTTCGTGGACTTTGGAGTGATGGAGAACTCTTTGCTCTCCTTCATGGCGATCTTCTTGCCCGCGATCTCGTCATAGATGGAGGACAGGTATTCTTCTGGGAGGTCCTTGCTATCGTTGATGCCACGGTTCATCTTGATGTACTGCTCTTTGGTCATCTTGTTCTTCACCTGCGTATCAGAAGAGACAGTTTTTACTGTTTACACCTGGGGCAGCTGTGGTGCTCAGAACCTGATGCACCAGATTTCAGGTGTGACTTCTCACCTGAGGACTGTGCAGGTCTGTGGTCAGCATGATGATGGAGTAGGCTAACACGTAGGCAGTGTCTGCACTGGCGAACAGAGTCTGCCTGTGAAAGAAAATCCCACATCAGGGTAAGAGAAAGTAGCTGTGTGGCTCTGAGGCTCAGTTACCATTAAAAAAAAAAATTCATACCCCTGGTTACACTCCAGGTATCGAGCAGCAAACTTCTCCATCAGCCTGTCAATCTTCTGGGCTTCTCCAGGCAGCCGGAAGCCTTCTAAGAACGTCCTGAGAGCCGAGACGAAGTCCCTGCCACAAAAGTCCAGCTGATCCACGTAGTTGTACATCACTTCTTTGTTGAACTTGATGTTTTCACCCAGGAACTCCCCCACCTGGGTCTGTGGAGGGACAAAAGAAAATCAGAAATCTTCTCTGATGTCTGGGCTGAAACGAGACTTGACTCAAGTCCCTTACTGTGTCCAGTCTGTCCTCCTGGTGTAGAAACTGTGCAATGTCCTCTGCTGTGGCTCCCAGCATGCCTTGCTCCTGCAGGTACTGTATACCCCTCTTTGGCTTCTTGTTGAAGCTAAAAAAAAAAAGACCCGAGGAATAACTCAGTTTTATTTAGTCGAAACTGTGAGAAGTGCAACTCTTGCCCACTCAGGGATCAATAAACCTGACTGTAACTTGGCCGCACTCTGATAATGGACTCACAGGTCAATCCCATGTTCGATGATGTCCTTCTGCTGTTTAATGACCTCGTACTGTTCTGGGTGATCCGCCTGGGAAACGGCAACACCGGAGGAGACGGTGGAGTCCAGCGAGCTGATGCTGTCGCGTCGTCCAATCAGCTGCTCTGGGAGCTTCAGCTCTCCCCCGTCGTCAGAGGGATGCTCCTGGCCTGAAAAACAAAGACCAGAAAAAAGGGTCATTATCTGAACACAACATCAAGCCAACGTGTGCCAGATGTACCGTAATGTAGACGACAGACTTACCCAGGTTAGCTTGGAGGTTTGGGTTGACGTACATGTCTTTGCTCCACTCCACCATACACTTGAGGATGGAAACCAGACACTCCAGGCCCTTTTTACGTAGACTCAGCTCCTGAAGGGCATCACAGGATCAGTGACACACGCACACATAAAAAAAAAAAATCAGAATCTAACATTAAAAAAAACAACTAGAGCCCATCCAATCCAAAACCTCTAAACCCAAATGCTCAACCTAATTTTGAGCAACATGCTGTAAACAGGACATGCTAGAAGAGAGAACATGGTATGAGACCATATGAACCAATCAAATGGAAATTCAGAAAACTCTGTAGTTAGAGGGATGAGGACAAAACTAGTACTAACTTAAAAAAAATATTTGAAGTTCAACTTATTTTCACAAGAGTAGAGCAGTCACTAAATCTGGTGACATCATACCATAATCTATACTAGGGTTCACCAACATGGTGCCCAGGGGCACCTGGTAGCCCACGTGGACTACCTAAGGTGCCCACAGGGGATGTTCTAAAAACCGACCGATAACACAATGTCCAGGTTTCGTAAAATGACGTTGACCCAAAAAATAGTTTTGGGGAAAGACGGCTGTGTATGAAAGTGAAAATCACTAGATGGCAGCATTTCATCTTATTTAATTAATCTATTTTAATAATCATGGGATTGTATGCAGAATACTGGTTCCAGGAACTCATTGTACTGTTACTGTGCTTTTTGAACCAGTTACAATGATATTCAAATATCATCACTACATTGTTCAGGAAGTCTGTATCAAACAAGTAGCTTTTCGTATCATTAAGTGTCCTTAAGTGTAGCTCTCAGTTCCAGAAAGGTTGGTGACCCCTGATCTATACAGTGACATACAGTATGCATATGATTGACAAAAACGTGTTCCCAACCCAGTTGTTAAGTAGTAAAGAGAACCAGTCAAACCGCATGTGTAGCTGCTACTGCTGAGAATACAGTGTGTGATGTGACGTACGTTACAGCTCTGGCCTTTTTTGGCCCCTGTTCTGACACTGATATGTGTTGAAGTTGTAGTTCACAGTTGTAGTATTAAGTGGTGATGGAATTCATGGGAACATACCTGCAGAGGCGTCATGCCCAGCTCCTGACCGCTCCGGCCCTGAGCGATCTTCGACAGGTCGCTGACGAGGCGCTCAAAGATGTTGGCAGCGTTCAAGTCGCAGTCGTAGTTCACGTAGATGTCGACCACACACTGGGCGTCTGGAGGCAAAAATAGATATATATATAATAGACTAGTGACAAATCTGGACATTGGACATCACAATGAGGAAATGCACATAACATTCACTAATGTGTGTAGCTAACATGGCTAACGCATAAGCGTCTTCTCATTGTCCAGTTTCTACAAAGAAATCTGAAATTTGGAATAAAGAAGAAGGGTGATGAGCAGTGGTGCAGCTCAGAGCTCAGTAGTTTAGCTTGCATTGCCCCCATGTGGAAAGAAGACAACCTGCACAGGCGCCTGAATATCCTAGTCACATAAACTGTTTAAATTGTTAGGATCAAACACTTGAATCTAATACACTGTCATGGTTATGCCCACTGCTTTTATACATTGTATACATCTTTTATCGCCTAATCAGCTGGAGAATATAACTAGATGACAGTGAGTTCACTCTGGACATTTCACCAGTCAGTGTGCACAATTAGCATAGCCTCTTGTGTAGTGCCGTGTGACGACGTATTCGTCCGGTCCGTTGGTCAACCACTTCCCGTGAGAACTAGTTAGCTAGTTTTAACGCTGTACGACAGAAAGATGGAGCAAGATTTCTTTAATAAATGAATGCAACCAAAACTCCCAGTTGATTTCTACCTGCACAGATTCGTGTGAGAGTCTGAATAACCATCCACTTGTGCTCAAAGGAGCTGCTCGACGTCTCCAGAATAGTCAGAAAGATCTCTCGAAAAAACACCTGGTGGACAAAAAAGGGGGAATTCATTTCAATTTAATAATAATCCAGATTAAAAAATATGGAGTCTGGATTAGACTCTTTTTTTTTTTACCTCAATCTGCATCTTCAGGTGGACCTTGAAGTGAGAGAGCAAGGTGAGGAAGATGGCCAGGGACAGCTCAAACACCTCAGGTACAGAAGAAACACCATTCTTGGAAAGCGCTACACATAAATACTGTTTGATGGCGTTGACAAACATCTCGTGGGTGCGAAACACCGGCCCGGCCCCCTGCAGGACTGAGAGGAGCAACTGCAGGGAGACGATCTTTGACCGCAGCTCGTGGGACCTGCAGAGAGGACACGTGACAAAAAAACAAACACGCGGGTCAGTAAGTGAGACGGAGACATTGTTAGGACAAACATCAGCAGAAATCAAGGACCATTAACTCATCATACATTAACACAACTTTTTTTTAAATATGATTTTACACTTGGTTTTTGACTGCTACGTGCACAGGCTGGACAGTGATGGTCTGCTCGTGTGGTAGCTCTGTTCAATGCTGATCTGGGAGAACTTTTCCTGTAGAGTGGGTAAAAATGCTCCTTCTGCACAGAGTAACATTACCGCCCATTTTATGGAGTGATTACAACTATTGGTTAAAATAGATAAGAAGATAAAATATCAGTGTAAGCCAATCAGAGGTACAGACTGGGTTGGTACAAAGCGAAGAAAAAAACAGACTTTTTGAGATGTCAGATTGCATCACTCAAAGTCTGTGTCGACTAGTCACAATTTCTGTTAATGCCCTAAATCAGGGTAACCAACGTGGTGCAGGTAGCCCCCGTGGACTACCTGTGGTACCTATTGGGTATGTTCTATAAATAGAACTGGTCAACAAGAGGGTCAAAAATTGTACTTTAATTGTGCTTTCTGAATCAGTTCCACCTGCAATGATATTCAAATGGGTCAATGACGATGGTAAAAAGAGTGTCTACTATTGTAAGGCGCGGAAATCATTATTATTACATTGTTCAGGAAGTCTGTATCAAACAGTAGCTCTGAGTTTCACAAAGGTCGCTGACCCCTGCCCTAAATTATACAGCTGCTGTTACATCAGAGTCCAGTGCTCAGAGTGTTATTTTTAATCCTGTAACCTGTGTTGACTCCTGGCAGCTTTTCCAACCAACCTCCACACTCGCGACACAGTAGCTGCAGGTCGACCGCGCCACAAAATGGTGTTAATTAGTGATACCTATGACATCATCACTTGTCATCACTTCATACAGTGACATTTGTATGAAAGCATGTAGCTGCAGCCATTTCAGAAGGAGTGTTTGCACTGTCGACTTTTTTAAACACAGGCAGCTAATGACGGTCAGATTAACTTATTCCATGGCTCGGTTTACTCTGGCTCATTCAAACTGGCAGGATCAGGGTTTTATGTTACTGCAACTAGAGAAACGGGTTCAAGGCAGGATTGGAAGAACAGGTTGTCCTCCAAAGAGCGAGCTGAAAAAGTCAGAGCAGGTGTATTTATTTTGGCAAACAGATTAGAATAACGACAGCCCAGAGTAAAAGTCAGAGGCTTCATTAAAGCAGGGAAGCTAGGGGTTTAATATATAATATTACTGCAGACGTCACGGATGTTTAACACGTGTGGTGAAGAACAAAATTGATTTTGATCACGTGACTCTCTCGTGACATCGCAGGAGGCTAAAGAAATCACTCACTTCGGGTCTGGAGGTCCATCGGCCAGGGGTTTCATGGAGAGTTTGCAGAGGGAACGGAAAACCAGGAACGCGTCTTTCTGCAGGACGTGAGAGAACCGTGCGGCGCTGTGAGGTCCCTGCAGGACATCAGCATCCTGGAACAGAAAAAGAACGTTAATCCTGCTTTATTTTTATTAGTTAGCTGGAGGTATAGCCACTCAGCGGACGCTGCGTACCAGCATGTCACTGGAGGAAACAGAGGAGCGGTCCTCGATGATGCCGTTCATCTGCTGATCCTCCGTTGTGACTCTGGGCAGTGACGTCTCCGTCTGCTCCGGGACAGGCTGAGGTGGAAGCTCCACTATTGGACAGAGGTAAGAATGTGAATCTTATGTGACAGGAGTAGACGACGGAAAATTAAGAGGCAACAACTGAAGTAGATTCAATCCCGACCTGTTCCGCTGTGGATCTGCTCCCCTCCGCCTGTCTCCGACTCTGCTGGATCCGGATCACCTCCCTCCACAGGTTGCTGCGATACTGCCGGAGAAGTCTCAGCCTCTTCATCTGTGGAAATTGTGAAAGGATAAACAGTGATGAAGATTATTTCTAGTGATTGTCAACTAGCGGCCCACAGGCCAAATCTATGCCGCTAAACCATCCAATCCGGCCCATGACTGGATTCCAAAATAAACATCAAATAATAATGTTCGACAATTTATTTGAGTGTCCGACCCCTAAGGTTAATTGCTTAATGTAATCAGGAATTAAAAAATCTATCTAGCGTATTTTCCGAACTATAAGTCGCACCAGCCAAAAAATGCATAATGAATAAGAAAAACACATATATAAGAGTATAAGTCGCAGCAGCCAGCTAGAGTGCCCTCTAGGTGCTGTCAGAGTGAAAATATCGAACATGTGCATTTTCAGTGGTACAGGAGTAGCAGATACTGGGACACAAGCCTTAGAGTGCCCTCTAGTGGCCGTCAGTGTAAAAATAACCGACGTGTGAAATTATATATTTTAAAATATAAGTCTCACCTGAGTGTAAGTCGCAAACTAAAGTCAGATCCTGACAACTTTAACTTTCTGCCTAAAATGTACAAGTAAATGTGTAACTCTAACCTGTTGATGGTGTGACCTGATCCTCTCCATTCACCAAATCGCTGCCACCCTCAGCTTCTCCATTCACTGGAGGTGCGTTAGGGGCCTGTTCCAGATCAGGGGCTGACGGTGGGCTTGGGGAGCTGTGGACATTGGTGGTACTGAGGTCTGGAGTACTGGCTGCTGGAGATGGGGAGCCTGGAGCCTCGGGAGTGGGTGTCCGGTCGGACCAGGGGGAGCCCGCTCCCCGATTACCTGGTACTGGAGATGGGTTCTGCTGTGGTGGTCGCAGCCGGTCCTTCTCCTGCTCCTGAGCCTCCAGGATCTACGAAGGAGAAGATGTAGAGTAATAACTTGAATCCACCAACTCTATCAATTTTAAGCTTTAATTTTGCACATTTTGATTACATATGTTATTATTTCATATATGTTATAGTTGTTCCATATTACTGATATGGATTGATCACGATTAATCATGATTAATTACAGTACCAATTAAGCATGACTAATCATGATTAATCCAAAACTTCCTTGTGATTAATCATCTAAAACAGCATCATCTATTGACATGTCCAAGTCCAGAAATGAAGACCAACCGCCTGGTTCTCCACACGTGTGAAGATGACGTTGAGCATCTGCGTGAGCGTGGCTTTGGCTGTGGTCTGGTTGATAAGGTTGCGACTGGCCAGGTAGATGTTGTAGCAGGTCCTGACGGTGAGAAGAACCGTACCCTCGTGGATCTCTATATGTGGCGAGGTGACCGCGGTCAGCAGGGCCTGGTCAGAGAGACGGAGGGAGGGCAGCACTTCATACAGGGTTCGAATGCAAAAGGTATATCATTTGATTCCTTAGTTACTTTGCTATTAAAAAAAAAAACTTTCACCAAAACATTCATTTAAAACAACAACGTTGTCCGTGCATTGACTCATCGTTCTGCTATTGAAGTCAACGCTGTCACATTTACAGCCACGTGTCCCTCAGAGGTGAGCAGAGGACAGACTCACGTCAACGATCTGACCTCAAAATCTTTGGTCAACAGTGATAAATGTCAGTGATCCAGGTCAGTGGACCAGACTGTACACTGATCAGTCACTAGAAATTGTCAGCAAATAGGATGTGGGCGTCTATAATTGAGCATGAGCCACCGCGGCAGATTTGAGCAAAGTGTCATTTTTAAACCTAAATCAAAGTCAGATGAATTAAGAATTTGAAACTGTGTCAAAATATAAGTGTTTATAAAAGGCTGAATAAGTCTATTGATTTTACAGGACTTTTCTCAGCTTCTTTTCTTTCATAAATTAAAATATATCAGTACTAAAAGATAGAAAGAAGTAGTGATGGCTCGATCCCATACTCAAGATCGGAATCGGTCGGACGTTGGTAAAACAAAAAAACTAACTACAACTCGTCCGATCTGATGCCTGAGCCCAAATGCTTAACTTAACTTTGCGTAACATGCTGTAAACAGAGACATTTTTGCCTTGGCAGCCTGTGGTATCGGATTGATATCGGTAACGGCAGATACCGTATCGGACATGAAAAGGTTCTATCAAGCCATCCGTAGGAAGAAGCACAATGACTACCTTAGTGTGGAAGAAAAAAATGGTTTGAAAAGAGCTGAAAATGGATGTCCCGACTCAAGAGCAGATTCTGATACAAAAAAAACCCTCAAATAATCAGTGGAATGGAACATGTGCTGCCCGTCTGACGGACTTTCTGGCCAGATTAGGTTCAAAAATTTGGGTTGAAAGACCTGAGAGAAGTTCTCAGAGAACAGTCGCCGAATAAAAGCAGACTTTTATAACTAGATCTGGCCACAATCACAAAACCAGTGAAGACAATGACGTATCAAGTATCAAATATGATGACTGACAGTGGGATTTCAGACTTCAGACACTACCTTGATGATCTGTAGCTGGACCCCCTCGTCGGTCTGTGGACCCTGGAAACAGTTGCAGATGGTTTCCAGCAGTCGGTCGATCAGCCTTTTGCCCGGGGTTTTGCTGTCGGGGGCATTTCCCGTGATGTGTCCGTAAGCGATCAGCTTCTACGGTGGAGCAAAAGGAGCAGCAGTTAGAGCAGAACTCTTTGATTTAGCTTTAACATCTAGGCCAGCGGTCTCAAACACATGGCCCG